TTGTCCAGAAGGTGTCACTAAACTACAACTTTATACAAGGTTAAATGTGATTAATTCAATAGAACACCACAGTGATACTGTGTTTTGTGCAGGGATGACAAGCCGGTGGTACCCAGAGGGAAGAGGAACGGTGATTCGTTTGGTTTCATTCCATCTACATACTGAGAACAGAGCGTCTGTGGACATGTTGGTGATTCCATGTGATGAACCCTGGGTGGATCCCAGTATACAGTACTGTGCAAAGTTCTTCGGCAGGCAAAGGAAATCATGTATAAACAATCTTCATACAGATGTAAAACTATGATATTATGTCTGTCAGCGTTTGTCAGCTTGGCCATTTCAATGCTCTCCTAAATTCACCCCAGTATTTGCAGCAACTGTCCAATTCACCCCTACACTTTTTCATTTGACCGCTAGCACACCATTAATTAATGAACTTATTAAGTGAGCTGGTGGTGAAATTCAATGAATACATGGAATGGCTGAGGTGCCCCTGAGGAGAGTTTTGAGAACTAATGCGGTGTTCATCTAGCCGTCCAACTAGATATGAGTAACTTTTTGGAGAGCAGAAAAAATTCTTGTTTTTATTGTGTTAGTGTAAAGTACCTCACTAGGAGGGAGCAAAAACATGGGCTGTCTGTGGGTCCCCAAGGACTGCATTAGGAAATACTGGTCTACACCAAATTCCCTGTGTGTCTCTTTAACCTTCCCCGAGGTTACTTAAGCACTTGGGCTGTCAGAGGCATGTCGGGTGGGGGATTCAGGCGGGCAGACACATCCAGCCTAAGTCAGAAGTGACAAGCATTAGATCCAGAGCTGCTCCGCTGCCTGCCATCAGCGAATGCCTGACTGACTCTCCATCGCGATGTGTCAGCTCCCATTAGGGCAAGAGCGTGGGCACAGCCACATTCACTGGGCCTCAGCAGGCGAGTCAGAGTGCGGGTACAGCCACTCTCATGGGCCTTAGTAGGCGAGTCAGAGCACGGGTACATCCACTGTCACGGGCCTCAGCAGGCGAGTCAGAGTGCAGGTACAGCCACTCTCACAAGCCTTAGTAGGCGAGTCAGAGCGTGAGCACAGCCACAGTCACAGGCCTCAATAAGTGAATCAGAGCACAGGCAAAGCCACAGTCAGCACAGTCACAGGCTTTAGTTTGACCTCTCTCTCCTGTCTTGAGACCTGTCCTATCTCTGCCATCTTGAAGCCTAAGCTCTCACTGCCATCCTGAGGCCTGTTCTCTCTCTGCCACCCTGAGGCCTGTCCTCTGTCTGCCATCCTGAGGCCTGTTCTCTCTCTGCCACCCTGAGGCCTGTCCTCTGTCTGCCATCTTGCGGCCTGTTCTCTCTCTGCCACCCTGAGGCCTGTCCTCTGTCTGCCATCTTGCGGCCTGTTCTCTCTCTGCCACCCTGAGGCCTGTCCTCTGTCTGCCATCTTGCGGCCTGTTCTCTCTCCGCCACCCTGAGGCCTGTCCTCTGTCTGCCATCTTGCGGCCTGTT